ACGAAAGCAAGAGTCAGCATACTGTTTCTGTAAAAGATCAGATAGTAAATCTTTTTGGTTTTGTGGGCCATGTGGTCTCTACTGCTACTATTCAACTACTCAACGCTGCCATTGTGACATGAAAGTAGCCATAGCAAATATGAAAATGAATGAGCAAAATTGTGTTCTGATAAAACGTTATTTATAGAAACAATACATGGGCTGGATTTGGCCAATGAGCCATAGTTTGCTGACCCCCATACTAGAGGATGAGACACATGGAATAGAGTTGAGTTGCCCCAGTAATCCTAGTTTAGATCATTTGGAATCACCCAAGCTCCAGCCAATTCTTAGATATGCGAGACAGTTAGACACACGTCCACGAGAATCACTTAGCCAACCTGTAGCTCACAGCAGACACATGAGCAAACCCAGCCAACATCAGCCCAACCCTGCAGAATCATTTGCCAAGCCCCTGAGTCATGGATGATTTGTTACACAGAATTATTGTGGCAAAAGAATATCAATACCGTAGGTAAAGTCTTAATCTTGCCATTTTAGAATTAAAGATGGGGCTTAAGGAAGTTCAATATCTTGGTCATTGTCTCGGGCAGCCAGAAAGTGTCAGAGCCAAGATTCAAATTTAAGTGCTTTCAAATCGATTGTTCTATCCACTATGTAAAACTGCTTCAATCCTTTACTTTTCTCTTTATTTTAGATGGTTTTATTTATATAGCAATATAGATATAGATACGTATAATGTAGGGTAAAAGATGAAGAATTTTAGGCAGCTTTGGCTCTCCACTGATTCCCCTCTTAGCTTTTGGCTACGGAAAATCATGCCTCACTTCTCACCATCTGTCTCCAAAAATAGTCAGTGTGAAGCAACTACGCAACTCAAAAAAAAATTTTTTTTTTTTGGTATTTATAAAGTAGAACCCTCAGGTGAATGGTTTCTAGAACTTACACAGGATTTCCTAGGCTTGAGCCTCTCTACATTACAGTTTAATGCTTTGGGCACCAGAATCTCTCGGCCTGTCTTCCCACTGCCTGGAGAAGGGGCTGGGCTTAGAAACACTGAATGTTAAGAGTGGGAAGGTAGGAAAAATAAAAATAAATAGGAATCGGAAGTTGTACATTTGGCCTTTGATAGTTAATCTCCTAGCTGAACACAGCATAGGTATGGCAAGCTGCTCACTTCCAGGTCAACAAGACCCAAGAAGTAGACTCTCTGTCCTTTAATATGGTGTAAAGAAGAATGTTTCACTCAGAAGAGGTATTAGATAGCCAAGGAAACAGAGAAAAGGAAGAATACAAAGATAAGAGTTGATTGTGCCTGTCTAAGCACCCACAATGGCGAGGAGCTTGTATCATTAGACTTGGTCTTTCAGTCCCACTTACAAGACTGGTCCAAGTGTGGAGATGAATGTGGGGTACTGTAGCCAATGGACTATGAGTATTTTTAGTCCCATTCATGACATCACCTCTATCTTGAAACGGATATATCAGATTACCTTAGTCTTATGCCATTGAACATTTGACTCATCCAACTCTCTTTGGTGTGAACCCATGCTCTCCAAGCCACAAAAGCCTTTTTTTTTTTTTTTGCCACACAAGCCTTCCTACACTGTGCAGAGCATTGAGTCATGGAGTAACTTTGGTACCTTTGGCAGTGCTCCCCCAGAGAAAATCAAGAGAGGATTTCTGATCACAATTTAACTTCCAAGGCAGCTTGACCACAGGGCCAGAATGGAGTGATCCCTGGGATTCAAGTCCACTAGACCATGGGACAGTTATAGGACTGAGTTTCAATGAATTCCTTGCTATTATGGTTTACACTCAAGTCTCATTTATGAGTCTACCTCTCAGGGCCTAGTCACATCAACACCCTGAAAGAGTAAGTGTTTTGAGTTTTCAAAGCAGAGGGTCTCACCCATTTGGCACTGATTAGATAAGGTTTTCTGTCTTTTAAAACCACAGAGCCCTTTAATATATGTCAAATTCTGATGTCCCACCACCATCTTTCAACATGTCCAAGCCAAATAAGTACATCTTAGCGATAGATGTCCCCACCTGCTAAGAAGATTCTACTCTACGTAGTACTACGTGAAATAACCATAGGGCTTATGCCCTAAATAATATTGATTCAGTATATTGTGTGTATGTGTAGATGCTAGCTGTAGAGATTTTGATAAAATCTGCCCCACCCTCCAGCCCCATTTGAGAGTCACTGCACCCTCTCACTAAAACTTCCATCACCACCCTAGATGATGCTTCTATAAGAATTACAGATAAATACCTTCTGATTTCTGCAGAAGAAACTTGACTTACTTATGGTAGAGTTAGTTTAGGGCTGGTGAGAGACCAAGGCTTGAGTGAAGGGAGTGGTGAAATTTAAGAAGTAACTTGTTACCTAATTATTAAGTGCATACATAATGGTTAGTACTGGTGATGGTGGTGGTACTAACTCCTGTGTGTATGTGTGTGTGTGTGTGGTGAGTGTGCAGTCTGAGAATGGGGTGTGTGAATGCAGATGTGTATGTTTGTGTACATGAATGAGAATGTATATACAAAGACAAAGAAAACACAATCCTTGCGTTCAAAGAGTTCTAATTAAGTGGTAGAAACATGAACATATCCATCACGTCCCTCCTAGGTAACAGTGTTAATACAAACTGTGCAATCTCTTCTCCACCTCTGTCCCATCACAAGTAAAAGCCACTTATAGCACAGACGTCCCTCCAGAGTCCAGTGTGTCATGTGGTCAGGTGGGGATTCCTTGGTACAGGAGACACTGGACCAGTAAATATTTTTTCCTTCATCCATCCTCCTCCATTACAACAGTTTCACTAATAAATTCCCCAACATCTACAGCTTCTCTTCTGAGTGAAAACCCAGTTAGAAACCATTTTAAATTGTCTTTACAACTATTATTCAAACTTGGAAATTGAAGTAGGTGATCTCTAGACATTTTCATTTTTTCTTAAACATGTTCTGCACACATACATAGTTTTTATACCTCTAAGAACATATAATTTAAATGTCCTTTCTTTTTCCTGATAGTTGTTAAGTAATGGATATCAAATATTAGTAGCTGAGTGGGTAACCAATAACCACGGTACATTCTGCTGCTACTATGAGAAGCATTACCAGGGAAGCAGAAAATTTATGAGAACAGTTACAGAAGTGACGACGGTTAAACAAGTATGTTACACAAAACTCAGCTAACTGAATCTCTGTGCTCGATAGATTACTCAAATAATTTCCATATGGAGGACACTTTATTGTTTAGAATATCTTTTTTTCACATACATAGATCATTTGACCTTCAAAAAATCTCACAAAACCTTAAGGAAACTACAGATTGGACAGAGTAAATAGGTTACCCAAATCCAGAGGGTAGGGTGTGTGTGTGTGTGTGTGTGTGTGTGTGTGTGTGTGTGTGTGTGTGTGTGTGTGTGTTTATGCAGGCAGATCTAATCCTTAAATTTTGAAGTTTTCACTTCTGAGCTCATGATCTTTTCCATTAATTATACCACAAAGCTTTCCTGATATGCAAAGCCTCTTTTAACATTAGGAAAAGAAGTGAAAAGAAACTTGTACAGAATTCTCCATAGTCAATTGTCCAATATGTTTTATGGACTTAAGAGCTGCTCAAATTATGAAACTTAAAATATAAACACAGTGACTTTTCATTTGTGTGGTAAACCTAAATGAATCATTATGAGAGCCACTAAAAGCACTATTTAAGAAATATGTATTAAAATTAAGAGTAATCAAGAGAGAGAAAAACTAATAATATAAATGGTGAGTATAAGAAAAATATCAATATTTTAAAAGTTCATCCTTTATTATAAAGGTTTAAGTACACATAATTCAAGACAAAAAAATCTAAATATGTATGGATGTATATAGTGTTTATATGTTTGTAAACATATGCTTTATGAATTTTTATGTTTATATATTTATATTTTTATATAGAAACAAAACTGAGCATTATTTGATGCTATATCCATTGGGTGAAAGTCTGTAGGAGGACAGGATTTGCACAGTCTCAATTTATCACCCTAAATACGATTACAAAAAGATAGCTTTACAGTGAATACATCTGGTCGATACTACCTTACTGAACTGATCACCACTAATGGGACAAACTGACATCAAATGTGCTGTAATCTGAAGAACACAACGTTAACAAAAATGTTTAATTTGAATCTAAGAATGAGAAAATAATATACAAAACCAAATCAGATTAAGGATCATTCTATAAAACCACCAGCCTAAACTTCTCAAAAAATGCCAGTCATAAAAGATGGAAAAAAATGAAAGAACTCATCCATTTTATTGAAAACTAAATAGAAATGATAACAAAAGGCAGTGTGACATCCTTGTTTGATTCCTGGATCAAAAATAAAGCAGTTATAAAAGACATTATTGGAAAAACTGGGGAATTTAAATATGATCTGTGTATGTTAAATAAATATTGTATTAGAGTTAAATTTCTTTGGTGTGACAATAATATGGCTATTTGGAGACTGCTTTGTACACAGGAGATAAATGTTGAAGTATTTAGGAGTAAAGTATCTTAAATGCATGATATAGTATCTGCAGCTTACTTTCAAATTGTTCAGAAAAAACAGTGAGTGATAAGAGCTAAAGCAAATATGGGGAAATGTTAACAACTGGTAAATCTAGGTGAAAGACATATAGAAGTTCATTGTACTACTTTTCTACTTTTCTGTAGGTTTGAAACTTTTTTTTTTTTTTTTTTTTTTTGCGGTACGCGGGCCTCTCACTGTTGTGGCCTTTCCCGCTGCGGAGCACAGGCTCCGGACGCGCAGGCTCAGCGGCCATGGCTCACGGGCCCAGCCGCTCCGCGGCATGTGGGATCTTCCCGGACCGGGGCACGAACCCGCGTCCCCTGCATCGGCAGGCGGACTCTCAACCACTGCGCCACCAGGGAAGCCCTGAAACTTTTGAAAATATGTTCGGAAAAATAAAACCAAATGAAATCGTTCTTTAAATTCTTTATTTCATGTGCCGATTTCAGCAATACTGAAATACAAGTTTAACATACATGTACTTACTCTTTCTAAAGATTTAAAATATGAAATGTTGAATAATGTTACAAATTACAATCAAAATTTAAAACAAAGCACTTTAAGAATAAGACGAAAGAGCTAAAAATTATGTTAAATTTCTAGTGCAAATATTAAAAAAGAATAAAGGATATTGGTGACTTTAATATTCAGACTAGGTTTTCCCTATCTTAATTTCTCTGCTCCCTTCCCACTTAAAATCCTAAAAAGTATTTGTTATAAATTGGAAATACAGAATTGTTAGAAAATCACTGAATGATGAGTTGTATGATTCTCTTTACAGGTACAACCTACTTCTCAGCAATCTGTAAGCCATTGACAGTGTAACTCCATATCCAAGGAAAAAAGCCAAAGCGCGATTTGGCTGGGGAAGGGGTATCAAATATGCAATTGTGTGGTAGACTCGTGCTCCAACAAAGAGCCTGAAGTGCAGGATGGCAGTAGAGAGATCTGGACCACTCAAGGAATACAGAAGGCCGATACCAAGAAATGGCACAATATTTTCGAGGTCATTCAAGTGGGCTCTGTGGAAGAAGATGACTTGTAAAACACAAATTTCAAAATCAGCAGAAATATATTCATTTTCCCCTCTCTTCTGAAACTAAATAGAGGTGTTAATGGATCTTAAACATGCAAAGTAAGATTCATTTTATTTCTCTCAAATTCCCTTGCTTCCTTACCCACTTGACTCTTATTTAGAATGTCTCGTTATCTTGTTTCTTTTATTTGTAGTGTATCTCAACATACACAGAGAAGGCTTTTTGCACTTTCAAGACTATCAAAACTGCATCTACATAATAAAACTCACTCCATTTTTATACATATAAAATAATTTTTCTTCTAAGGTCCATATGCAACAGCAATTCAAGATTCTTCTTATAAAAACTCTTCTTCCCAAAAGAACAAAATCCTTCTGGTTATGATCTTTCTTAAGACTCCTCCCTCACTTGTGCTCATCTGCAAAATGGCTCCTGAGACCACCCTTGCCCATCCACCCAATCCACTAGGTTGCCGAGAATCAATTTACCAATTTAATATCAAGAAATTCATGCTCTCCACATCCATATAACACAATACATAACTAGTCTTTCAAACATGGGAAACAATTTAGCCAACCTATCCTCAAATTGCAAAAGGAATTAGTTAGTAGTGATGGAGCAAAGTGCAAAGTATACACGAAATTGATAAACAGTAAAGAGAAAGACATATTTCCTTGATTGGGATTTCATACCACAGCTATAAGAAAACAGAAAGCATGGTTTAGACACAAGTTTTCCTCCAATTCATGGCACCTCTGGCTAGGATTATGAATACAAGGCACAGGTATTACTGACTTGACATTTTTTTAAACTGCTTAATCTTCAAAAATCTGGTACCCCTGTTCAAGTCTCCAGAGTTAAAAACTGCTTAAGAATCTAGACTAGAAATTGAGATTTTTGATAGAGCTCATCAGCTATCGATACATATTTCAAAATGAAAAATATTTGTTTTATGTTACTCTCTTTTCTTTTAGCAAAAAATGTAACTATTCCATATTGCCTGCTCAATGATCACCATTCTCTTCCCCTCCTTTCCTTTCTCCTGTTTCCTGTAGATTATCCTTTGTCAAAAAGGTGATGACAACATAAAGGTATGAAGAATGTGACAGCAACCTATAGGTAAGTAACAGTCTTGAAAGACTTAAATAAACAACTGCCTGTTCCTGAATAAAAGCCAAGACAGAAAGGCATGGGACTTCTTGTCCCTTCTCTTTCATGGAACAACCCAAGGGTTACTGAGAGTGAGGTGGGCAAGAAAGGACAGGGATACTATTTTCTACTAAAGAAGAGCCCGCTTCACCAATTACACCAAGGGTACTTGTTTGGGTCCTTTGAACTCTCCTGCTGGACCACAGATATATCTTCACCTCCCATCTTGGCCATGTTACTTTTCTCCTTCACAACATTCTAAAAGGACAGACATTTTAAAGTTGGGAAAGAACCTATAATGGTGAGACCCTGTGGAAATGTGTTTACTTCTAAGCCTCTATTAAGCAATTGGCAAAGAGAAGAGAAGAAAGTCAAAGACAATAAGGGGTAAAGAGCTCCAGTGGAGGGAGAGGGAAGGAAATTCAAAGGCAGGGCTTCCTTGGGCCTTACTGGCCCCTCCATTTTTTTCTGGCTTCCCTCTCTCTCTTTATCTTATTCTCTTTTCAATTCTCTTTCCCTGTCTCTTGTCCTCAAAA